TCTCTGTACTCACTGTTTTCATTCAGGTTTTTCCAGTAGTTGGTGCCTAATCCACTTCTGTATAGTTCCTTTCAAAGCTCAGGGTTCCAGGATTATCTTTGGTATCTCTGTCAACTGGTTTTTCTTTTCTTTGTTGAAGAAGGTCTGTGTCATTGTCTGCCTATTCCTCCATCTTACCAGAAGTCCGCAAAATTGTCTTTTAAATAAAGTGGCGAAAATAGGCCATTAACAGTAAAACAGAAATTGAGGTAATTGTAAAAATCAGACCAACCTTAAAAGAAATATTAAAGACAGTCCTTTGGACAGAGAACCAACGACTTTAGACAACAACTTGAAATTAAGACACACACATGACAATATCACTCAGATACCAACCCAGATAAAGAATTCTCAAAAGTAAAATAAAACTGAAAACAGGGAACCATAGATGTAAATTTGTAAACTACAATAACTTCCAAACAAAAAAGGGGAATAAATAGTGTAGTTATAGAACTTCTATATGGAAAGGAGGGCAAAGCAATATCAAGATATAACAGATTGTTTTAAACTTAGGAAGATAAAAGTAAATTCAGAGTAACCACAAAGAAAATCAATAAATTTCACTGCCAAAATAAAGAAGAAGAAAATAAAAAAGACTCAGTAAACACAAAATTAACAGCAATGAAAGAAAAGAAAAGAAAATCCATAAGCAAAGAATTTAACACAGAAAATTAAATGGAACAAAACCATTGCCACCACACACAAAGAAAAAAGCATAACAAAATACCTGTCAATAATCACACTGAATGTAAATGGTTTAAATGCACCAGTCAAGAGACAGGAATGACAGAATGAATAATTAAAAATAAAACATTGATTCTTCAATATGTTGCCTATAAAAGATACATCTTAGACTTGACAACATGAATAGGTTAAAAATCAAAGGATGGAAAAAATCTGTCAGGCAAACAGTAACCAAAAGCGACTAGGAGTGGCAATAATAATGTCTGATAAAATAGACTTTAAGTCAAAATCCATTATAAGAGACAGAGAAGGGCATTATATAATTATAGGGTCAATCCACCAAGAGGATATAAGCATTCAATATTTACACACCCATGGTAGAGCTCCAAAATATATAAAACAAATTTTAACAATTGAAAAGAGAAGTAGACACTTCTACAGTAATAGTAGGAGACTTTAACAAACCACTTTTGATGATGGGCAGAACAACTAGAAAGAAACTCAGCAAAGATAGAGAAGATTTAAATAGCATAATCATCCTACTTGACCTCATTGACACATATAGAGCATACCACCCAAAAGGAGGAGATGTTGAGTGGCAACCTCTGGTGTCATAGTGCCTATTCCATTGTGCGTATGTACCATACTTTGGTTATCCATTCCTCTGTTGATGGGCACTTAGGTTGTTGCCATCTCTTTGCTGTTGTGAATAGTGCTGCAGTGAACATGGGTGTACATATATTTATTTGTGTGCTGGCTCTCACTTCTTCAGGATATATCCCTAGAAATATGATTGCTGGATCAAATGGTATTTCTAATTTCAATTTTTTAAGGAATCGCCATACCAATTTCCACAGTGGTTGAATCATTTTACAGACCCAGTGGCAGTATATGAGAGTCCCAATCTCTCCACATTCTCACCAGCATTTGTTATTTTCTGTCTTGTTGAATTTTGCCATTATTGTTGGGGTGAGATAGTGTCTAGTTGTTTTGATTTGCATCTCTCTAATGGCTAATGAAAGGAGCTCTGGTTGCACTGTGCCTAAGGCATTTATTTGACTGCCAACCAGAAGGTTGGTGGTTCAAACCCACCAGCCACTCTGCAGAAGGAAGATGGGGCATTTTACTTCCATAAAGATTTACTGCCTCAGAAACCCAATGGGCGTCACTGTGGGTTAGAATTAACTTGATAGCAGTGAGTTTGGGTTTTTTGTAATGGCTAATGATAACAAGCATTTCTTCATGTGTTTGATGGTTACCTGAATATCTTCTTCAGTAAAGTGTCTGTTCATATCTTCTGCCCATTTTTAAATTGGAGTTTTTATCCTTTTGATGTTGAGGTGTTGGAGTTTTCTGTAAATTTTAGAGGTAAATCCCTTGTCAGATATGTCATTGCCGAACATTTTCTCCCAGTCCATAGATTCTCTTTTTACTCTTCTGGAGAAGTCTTTTGGTGTACATTTTTAGAAGGTTTTTCTTTTAATATTTTGGAAAACTTTATGTAGGCTGCTTTTGACAAAGACCTGAAGTTCTTCAAGGCTAGCTCTTAATTTTAATTTTTCACTTCCAGATCTGACATCATACTCTGAAGATTCTAGCTCTTTACAAAATATGCTACTGAATTAACACTATTAACTATGGTTTCTTAAACAAAATCCTTCAGGTGTATTTGTGGGATATAATGATGAAAGTATAAAAAGAACGTCACATTTATACTGTAAAATTTACAATAAGGTAGAATTCAAGCTGAATTTTTATTTCTTTTAATGTAAGGTAATGAAACTGATACTTATCTTTATATTTTAGAAGGAGGAAAGAAGACAATTGAGGTATCTATTCCAGGAGCAGAAGTCCCAGAAAGCTCAAAATGCAGTACTGTCTCTCCTACCAGTGGGATAAATACAAGAAGGTAGGGTTACAATGTAAATAGTTACTTTTTTAAAAAAGAAGAAGAGTATGGTGTATATTTTATTATCTTTTTGCAAAAAGGAAGTCTGTAATATCTGACTTAGGTTCAGACAGACTTACTCATGTAGAGAAAAGAAAATAATTGGACAGGAGAATTTTGCAGGGAAAAGAACAGAAAGTAAGGACTAAGCCTGAATAAATAGAAAAACACAGCCTAGGTACTGAATAAAAACAACAATAATACATATAGAGAGAGCTTTCTGGGTTACAGAAATTTTAAAAGATTAATAATGATAGCTTGTTCTCTGATTCTCTTTTTTTCTTATAAATAGATCTTCAGGGGCTGCCAGTAATTCCTGTTCTCCATTAGAAACCACCTCAGGAAGTGGACGATTCATGCCTCTTAATCCAAGAGCCAAGGTACATGATACAGTGTAATTGTGTGGAGGGGGCAGGAGGGGAAGGATGGGAGGTGACTAATTTAGTGATTTCCATTCTTAGTTATTTTTCCTCACTTAAATATAATACAAAATTCTCAGAAGAAAAGAAATACTAATTCAGTGTCATTAGAAAGAAAACAAGTCATACATTTCTTTTATTTTCTAGGGTAATGAAGGAATAAGAGAAAATTCACTAAGACTACAAAACTTTTTTAAGGGTAGAAATTTATGGTTTCAGGCTGTGCTTCCTAAATAATGTGACAGGACACACAAGTGTACTCTGAGTGGATTGTAGGTATGCTGACATATTGGGCCCCCTTTAATTGTGATGTGGCTATGTGGGGCCTGGCACAGCCAGAGCCCTGGGGCCAGTCACTTTCTTGGTCATTTTACTGCAGTTGCCATATCTGAGTGTACCACTCGTTACAGAGGTTATGTCAAAAAGAGGAAATAAATCTCTTAGATATTCCTCTTATGTTTTGGCTTGCTGTAATTATGTATGGGAGCTAATAACCATCTTACAGTGTAGCCAAAGGTTGTTTTTTTTTTTTTTT